GTCTATTCTCTGTAAATGATGATAAATTTGCACAGTGTGAAAGCTAATGGATTCGAATCAGTTGTCTCTTTTGTTGTTTGATGAATCTTTTTGCTTGAATCAATGGAGGCAACTTGACTTAAACTAATGTCTGAATAATTGTGAGAATAATAATTGAATACCATCTGTTTATTGATAATTGAATTAGTTGATACGAATCTAAATAAGACTTGTTTTTTATTTTGATTTAATTGAATACTATTCATTTGACAATGCCTCTAAGGTTGTTAAAATAGGCTTTTCACAAAATGATTTAGTTTACTTGGTATCAACAAGAACCTGTTAGAGAATGGTTGATTGACTGATCCAATGGCGACACAGCTGCTCATATTGAAGAAGAAACTTAAAACAATCAAATAAAACGTTCATCAAAAAGAGATGAATCTTAATTACAGTTTCAATTTTCCTTTTTTAACAAATGATTACACAAAGTTGTATACGATTATTACCATATAAATCCAATCGAGAAAGATCATATTATAATAACATAAACTAAAAGGATTCAAACAGCAAAGTTGAACTTGAGCTTGTCCACAGTTGCATCATCAGTTCTAAACGCTTTAGTCAAAACAGCGTTTGGAATCTCTGGGAACGAACCAAACAGAGTAATCGGTAGAACCGCCGCTCCTGGAAGCTGACTGTTAAAAGCGGTAATCAAACGCGCTTTCACTTTGCCAACGTTCCATTGGAAATGAACCAATCCTCTAGGGACAACAAACATCTCTCCTGCATTGATAACCTTTGAGAACAAAGTGTTGTTCGTTGTCAAGAACCCGACGTAGACCGAGCCTTCGATCACAACTCCTGCTTCGGTTGCACGCGGGTGCGAGTGAGGCGGATTCACACCGCCTGGAGCGAATTCAACGTTGTTCATCGCGATTCCTAAAGTGTTTAGACCCGGGAAGGTTAAGACGTTGGCGGGAGCGACTGTTACACCGTTGGAGTTCGAGGTGTTTAAGGGACCGCCTAAACCGGAGAAGAAGAAGTCAGAAGCCGAGACGCCTGATTTGCAAGGGAAGCCATTGATGGAAGGAGAAGCTTTGAGATCACCAACGCAGAAGTCTTGTAAAGGGTCTGAATCAGATGAGAGAGATGGGATTACGAAGAGACAGATTGTTAAAAGGAAAGATATGAAAAGAGAAGAAGAGATTTTCAGAGTAGCCATTGCTATTGAGTATTGAGAATGATGAAACAGAGCATCCTCTGTTTTATGAATATATATAGTGGTTATTTGGAAAATTTCTTTTGACTTATTCTCTTTATTATGTCTAGAAATTGTAAATTTGTAGATTAGTTGAGATTAAAAGAAAACTGACATGAAAAAATTGTTTCTTTATTAGTTATGGTTCAAGTTTGATGGTCTGTTTAAAATTTTTACTCTGTTTGTCTAAAGTTTTTGTTGATTTTGTCGTAAGAAGCAATGGAATAAGACAGTAAATCTGCAGAACATTTCAAAGTTAATGGCTAAGATGTCTTTTCTTAATCAGAGAAGATTTCTTACTTAGTTATAAGTTAAAGGCTTAAGCTAATGTCTATTAAGAAAACTGAAAAGTTAAGTGGATTCTAGAAATTTTGTAGTATTTAATTGAAAATCATTGGTCGACAATGCACGAATTTTTCATAAGTGAATTAGTTGGTAAGAATCAAAATAGGATATGTTTTTAATACTAATTTTTGTGGCTGAGACAAAGTCTCACTGTGTTTGTTAAAATGGGCTTATCATAAATAACCTTTTTAATTAGGAAGAAAAACTGTTTCAATGAATCATCAAAAGAAAGAGATAACAAAATTCTCAAAAAAATTAGAGTCAAGATTGGATTTGCAGTAAGAGACAAAGCATAAAAAAATGTTTTTGCTTGTTTTCTGTAATAAAACTTTCAGTATCAGTTACATACAGAGTTGATACAAGAATGTGTTGTTTTGATTTCTTCTGATGATAAAAGAAGTTTTAAGTAAAAAATCATGAATCTTCTGGTGATGGCATTTCGATGAAACTGCGAAGCATATGCAGATTCTGAGATATCTGTAATAGAATTGCTTCTCCTTCACTAACATCTAAAACATCTGAAATTTGCTGCAACAATTCACCTTTTGATTCAATTGCATTTAGTCTCTCTGTAATCTCTGAAAACTCCTTCACTAACATAGCTTTTCTGCTTCCATTCTCTGT